GATGGAGTCAATCAGGGAGGGCATGGACCTGAATCTGCAGGACTTAGAGCAGTGGAGGATAGGAGATCTTGGAGATGTCTTATCCATGGGGTCACCATGAGTTGGAGCCAACTCGAAGGCAGTTCACATCACAACTTGAAACACCCCAGAGATAAGGGAAGGGATGGAAGATAGGAGGAAAAATGAGTTTCTGCACAGCTTTCCGCAGGGTGGCAGCAGCTCCTCTCTAGAAGAGTCCTTCCCTCCCGCAGTGCCAGGGTTCCTATTGCAATGCCTGGAATTACTTCATCCAGAAGGCAGGAAAGCAAAGGCAAACATAGCAGATTAGCTGAACAAAAGAGAGCACACCGGAGAGAGAGCATGCCAGCATTGTTCCTGGCTTCCACTTTTTTCTGCTGTTGTGCAATGCCGGACCAAGGTGGTTGGGACCTTGGAGCGGTTCCTAAAACAGGGCCTCCTTTGTCCGTGTGAGCAAGCTCTTTTTAAGAGCGATGGTCCAAAAGTTAACTAGGACAATAAATAAGGCAAAAATCTTCCTATGTGAACCTTGATACTTCTAAGGAGGCGAGCATCCTGAGCCCACATATTCGCAATCAGTTACTGAAATAGTAGTATGCAAAGGGATCTTGTTTGCGGCACCTTTGAGACTAACTGTGCAAAAGCAGTTGTAGCATCAGCATCTTACTTCATCACCATACCCTCAAGTTTTGCATTTCTATGGCTATTCATACAGTCTGATCATAAAGACAGAGGCTTGGGCTACACATCTGCATTGGTGTTTTCTCCTTCCCTCCGTTCTTTATACATGGTCTTTTTTCTTTTCATTTCCTCCTCGAGTTTACTGTGCAGCCACATGGCTTTTTTTCAGATGTTTCCCATTTGTGACTGCCGTTAAAACCGAGCTTGTCACCTCATCCCCATCATCACAAGTTTTTCACTTCTATTGCTAGTCTCACACACCGCCTGCTTATATAGGTCTGTTCCTGGACCCTCCACTCCATGCATCTGAGGAAGTAGATTCTAGTCTACGAAAGTTCATGCGAGCACATTATGCTATTCAGGTGGTTAAGAAAGATAGGAGATTATCGCAGAGCTAATAAAACCGGCTTAGCTGAGCCGGCTTAAATTTTAAAATGGGCCACATCCTGATCTTATCAGAAGGATTTAGCTGCCGAAATCGCCTCCTAGATCCAGTCCAGGTCCATCAGCATTCCCAAGACAGCCATTTCCAGAAGCTGGAAAACTCCCGGCTTCGAAAAGAGGTGCGCAGAGTGTCCCTGCGAATGGCGATGGACCCGGGCTGGACCCAGGCGGCGATTTCGGCGACTAAATCCTTCTGATACCATTAGAATGCCTCCTGTTTTAAATTTTAAGCTGGTTTTATTAGCACTGTGATAATCTCCTGAGTCGCTTCTGTTTGAATGAAAGGCAGCTTGCATTTACCTCCCAAGGAAAGATGGCCCAAGCTGGGTTTTTGAAAAGCACAAACAGTGTGGGGTCCCAAATGCAAGACAAATGGGAAGCAAAAAAACCATTAGAAAATAGATTTGATTTTGAGCATGCTTTAAGTCTCATGGTACATGCAGCCTCAGAGAAAGGAAAGGATTCATTCATTGATATGAAAGCTGCAGAGAGGTTAATGTTTCATCTGGAATGGTTGCCCAAGCCACTGTATTGATGTTTTATTAATATACTTTGCAGAAACCTAAATGCCCAGAAAGGCAGGCAGGCAGGCAGCACTTGATGGAACCTGCCAAGAAAAGTGGCTGTTTATATGGAGGATGACAGAAAGATGGAAGCATTTGTCTTTTAATTCTGAATCTGTTAAGTCAATACCCATTTGTTGAGGAACATACAGAGTGCCTTGCTGGATTTGACACAGGTCCATCTAGTCTAGCATTCTGTGCAAGAAGCCCAACAATTGGCAGTTGTGAGATAGTTCCTTGAGGGCAGGGAAGGGATGGGGACACAGGTATGTTGCACTACAATTCCCATCATCCTCAACCAGGATAAGGGTAATGGACTCTGTACTCAAACAACATCCAGAGTAGGGGTACCGAGTGTTGGACTATGACTCTGGAGACCATGGTTCAATTCCTCGCTTGGCCAAGAAACCCACTGGGTGAACTTGGGCAAGTCACACTCTCTCAGCTTCAGGGGAAGGCAATGGCAAACCTCTGAACAAATCCTGCCAAGAAAACCCCAGGATAGGTTCACCTTAGGGTTGCCATAAGTTGGAAACTACTTGAAGGCAAACAACAACAACAAGTTTCACAGCAGATGCCATTTGTAAAATGGTCTATGAGGAAAATATATATACCATAGCTTCCAACTGTCCAGATTTGGCAGGAACATTCCTGGTAAATCATCTCTCTTCCCACTTTCTCAGCTGTTCAAAATGTCCCGGTTTCTTTCTTCTCCTCCCACTTTTCACCTTCATCCTCAGCTTACTTCAACTGCTGCCAACTGAGTTCAAAGTAAACAATTGTAGTTTCTATTTAGGTAATTCAGAATGTATTCACACTACAGAATTCTATCAGTTTGGCACCACTTTAACTCCTGTGCTGCAATGCTATGGAATCCTGGGATGTGTAGTTAGTTGTGGCACCAGAGCACTCTGACAGAGAAGGATCAATAGCTCACCAAACTACAAATCCCGTAATTCCATAGCATGGAGCCATGGCAGTTAAAGTGATGTCAAACTGCATTATTTCTGCAGTGCAGACAATGCCTCAGTCAGGGGGACAGAGTCTTGTTCTCCTAGTAGGTCTATTTGCTTGGGTTCCCCCCCTCCCCGACTTCTTAAACTTAATACATAAATTCCAGAATTTCTCTGCTTAACATATTAGCATTGTGTATTCTTCCTTATTAATAACTTTTGTTCTCTTGCTGTCTGGTCCCAGCCTTTTGACTACACTCTGATGTTTCTCAGCCACATGTCCTGGGTTTCATCTATGAAACATTGGAGGGTATGCAGTGGAGTGTGCATAAGTATTTTTTACTCGACGCACTAGTTACTCCTAGACACACATGTAATAGATGGAGAATCTAGCAATCTGCTGTAGAGATCTATCAAAACAAAGCTATTCCCAATCTGCCTTCTGTCTATCCAAGCTGCAGACTGTTCCTGGGCTTTTGTTTTTTGCCCGGCTGTCTTCAAAATGTATTTGCTTTACTCTTGGTGCAGTTAAACATATTGGCTGGAATACTGTTTGTGCATTATGGTGTAGATATGTCAGCATAGCTAGTGCGGCAGATGGAAAAAGTTGGTGGATGTGTTACAGCCATGGAGAAAATCAGGCATCAGAGAAACAGACTACTTAGAGGTGGCAGAGTTTGTCCACTTTCCTTTCCAAAACAATAAAAACCAGGGAGGGGGAGGTAAATGCAAGCACATACCCTCCAAAATTTCGCAGACAAAAACTGAGAAGCACATGGCCAAGCCACATGTCACAGTCTGGCCAAGATAACCAAAGGTATTAATGAGGAAGGACACACAAGCTAGGAGAGGCCGATAAAGGCAAAAGAGGAAATCTGAGCTGTTAATGCATTACTCATTGTACGCTGGCTATGTGCAAAGCGTAAGGATTGTAATGGTGCTGACTCCAAGGCAATGCAAGGAGACTCTAGTAGTGGGCATGTGCAGGATTTTAGCAAATTACGAGTTGCCAACTTGGCACTGGAGAACCAGTGGAGTAAAACACCATGTTAGCTAGCAACTTTCGATATAAATTGTAAGGACTGAATCGTCTACTTGGCAGTCATTGCACCTCTTCCTGTGCAGAAGGTGAATACGTTCGTCCCTCCCCATTCGCAGACTTGTCGTTGCGCGGTTTTGAATTTCCGCAAGGAAATAGGAGGAATAAAAATAAGTGCATCCAGCAATGGAGCCGGTGCTCCTTTTGAGGACATGAAGGTTGCAGCAGTTTGTTTTTGGCCAAACCTGGAAAAAGCAAAATTCTGCCCCCTCTTTTCCGTTTGCCCTGGAGAGTGAATTTAGTGCAAATTACTGTTGAAAGGGGGAAAGTAGAAGGAGAAACTGATACATTTTAATAATAATAATAATAATAATAATAATAATAATAATAATAATAATAAAATTAATTTTTATCCCACCCCTCTCCATAACGTAACCGGGGCCGCTTACAACATTAAAAATATACATTTCATATCCCACAATCCCACCCACCCCTTAAAATACTATTAAACAATAACAATTTAAAACACACTTAAAATAAAATACAAATAACCAAATAACTATAACTGCAGCAGAATCAGATGGACAGGTTGGGAGGACATAGGATTGACTGGGACTGTTCCTGCCAAAGTGAGACAGTGGGGAGGTATGCAATGACTGCCATAGCTGCTATGGTCAATGGCAGGGGTAGGCAACCTTTCCCCTTTAAGGGCCAAGGGACTTCAGCTCCCAGAAGCCTCAGCCATGTTGGCCAATAGTCCCATGTTGGCCAATAGCTCCTGGGATTCTGGGAGCTGAAGTCCCTCGGCCCTTAAAGGGGAAAGGTTGCCGACCCCTGATGTGGACCGTACTGAATGACACCCCAAGGGGACTGTTACCCAGTGAGGCGGTATACCTGGAGGGACTGGCATGGCTACTGGGTGAGCAAGCCAGGGTGCTGTCCTGCTTGCCCAGCAGCCACACTGCACCTTAGATGGGCCCTCCAGAGGCCACAGTACCACCCCCCTTCCGGGTCCAGTACGGCTGTAGCTACACTGGACCTTGAAGGCCTTTCTGGTTGGGGGGCAGGTTCAGAGTCCTCAGTGCCACAGTCCCCCACCCTCAGCATCAGTCTGGGCAGGCGGGCAAGCGGCCAGGAGGAAGGGCAAGGCAGTCCTCTCCTTACACTGGGTGACACCAACCTTAGTGATGCCGCTTGCTGTTGTTGTGTGCCTTCAAGTCGTTTCCAACTTATTGTACCTGTCACAAAGTTTTCTTGGCCTGAGAACGTGTGACGTGCCCAAGGTCACCCGGTGGGGTCCCATGGCCAAGCGGTGACTCGAACCCTGGTCTCCAGAGTCGTAGTCCAATGCTCAAACCACTATGCCACACTGGCTCTCTACTCCCACACAATTCCAGCCGTATTGCTGATGACAAACCTTCTATTTAAAAGAAAAACAACCCCTCTTGTAATGAATGTACTTCAGCAACACTGACCAATGTGCAGAGATGCTCGAGTGTGCTTTTCACATGCAAAACAGCCCAGCTTACAAATAAATCCCCATTGTTCTTTTGCCACCTCGCAACTTTCTATTTATGCACAATTCAAGGCATTAAAAACAAGAATAATAAAGAAGAACTTCTTGGAACGTTCTTTGGTGCTTCCCGTTTTTACTGTAACCGAAACAACACCCAAATGTAACATCGCAGAGGGAACACCGCTGGATAGTTTTACCGAGTTTATTTCCCGGCATATTCTGCTCAGCTAAATGCAACTTGCAAATGTGGTGCTACAAAGTTTTACCGAGTTTATTTCACGGCATATTCTGCTCAGCTAAACGCAACTTGCAAATGCGGTGCTACAAAGTTTTACTGAGTTTATTTCACGGCATATTCTGCTCAGCTAACCGCAACTTGCAAATGCGGTGCTACAAAGATGTGGCATTTCTTTGCAAGAAAGCGGCAGAACGGAAAAGTGTCATGGCGGCAGGAAATGAAGAGGACATTTGAATGCCAAGAAAAAAAAAATGTCTTCTGGCCCTTTAACGAAAAGGACTGCAGTAAATTTCCACTCTCCTGCCTACGTGGCAGGAATTGTTTGCCCGGCACAGCCGCGGTGCAAGACGGGAGAGGCCCAGATTCTCATAATATCCTTTTTGCAACGTTGCCTGGCAACTGCTTTTGGTATGCAGGGTGTGTGCCTGGCTCCGGGGACGAAGGTTTCTCCTTCAGCTCAAAAGTGGAGTTTATGTGCAAGCAAAGCAAGAGCCGAACCAGCCTCTTTGCTAGAGAGCCATTCTGGAGGATGCATGGCTTCCTTGGCATGAGTTTAGCCCACAGTCTAAAGATTATTCAGATTCCTTTGCATGTAGATCCTGAGCTGTGTGCCTTCACAAACACCAAGGACAATGGTGCAAAAATACAGGCTAAATCCCAGGTTTCATTCCCACTACAAAATAAATTATTTTTTGAGTCAGATTGCTGAAGCATTCACACTATTCAAGCCATGATTGAACCTTAATAATCCACTTAATCCACTTCATATTCACATTCAGGAATGGAGCGATTCAACATGGAGTCGCCTCACAGGGGTGACCGCGCCACAGGAACCGAATCAAACAGACGGCGCATTCACACTTGTGCTGAATCGATTCATTGCGAAAGATGTGGGGAATTCCACAGATTTGGAGGAACCGGTTTAAATGGGTTTAGTGCTGGGGGGCCCTCAACAAACTGTGCCAGAAATTCGGCACAAGTGCGAACATGGGCCATTTGAACCGGCTCAGATCGGTTTGCAAACTGGTTTATTATGTAGTGAAAATGAGGCCCCAGATAAGGAAGAAAAAAAAATCCTGATTTGGGTAAAAAAATGTGAGGATGAAGGAATGAAGATAAAGAGTGGGCCAGCTCTGAGAAATAAAGGGTGAAATGGTGTAACGTTAAATAATCTAGGAACAAGAAGCTTATACGAAATCTGGAACAAGACAGGCAGCCAATGGAAGGGCATTGAAAGTAGCTCCCCAATTATAGCACTTTGGTATTACTTGAAGCGCTGTGGCTGCAATCTTATACAATCCAGGGATTTGTAATTTGGGAAGGCACTAGAGCAGGGGTAGGCAACCAAAGCCCCCCAAGGCCTTTGGACCGGCCCCAGGCCAGTCCTGCCGCTGCCGCTGTCCACCCGCCATGATGATATTGATTATTGTTGTTATTACTTGTTCTTGGGGTTTTCTTGGCAAAATCTCCACAGGGGTTTTGCCATGGCTTTTCTGGGGCTGAGAGTGTGTGCATGCATATATTTTTTAAATTTTCAAAATATTTATTTATTTATTTATTTATTTTTGGTGCTTCGGCCCCCCAATTGTCTGAGGGACAGCATCCTAGCCCCCAGCTCAAAAAGGTTGCCTACCCCTGCACTAGAGTTCTCTGGCAATACAATTCTAGAAATACAAAAGGAAAGTGCAGATTCCAGGATTCCATAAGAAAGAGCCACCCTATGACAATGTAGTGTGAGAGCGAGAGAAATCCTAGCTAGATAAAGAAGGAAAAAGGCAGGACTAGGCAGGTGCAAAACCAACTTTGTAAAAAAGGAGCTCTTTGTCAGCATCTTTGTTAACTGAGGTGTATGCCTGTACAGGAATAGTAGGGTTATTTGTGGGGATAAATGAAACAGCGGGGAAAATGACCTACTTTAGACAGTGCTCTGAAAACTAAATGGAGATCTTAATTTATGCTGTGGACAAACATGTAACACAAAGCAAGCCATTTCTCATAAGAGAATTGCATCTCTCCTTTACACTCCATTTTGAATCTGCTGCATAGGAAACTCCACTCGGTTTGAAATGTTTAAATTCTGTCAGAGCCATATTTAGCAAGAGTGGATTGTCAGCCTTTTCAGGCTGTAACTGGAGCATGGATGCTGCCCCTCCCTGGAGAGTGAGGCAGAGGGATGACGCAGTTTGCAAAGTTTTTATTGGCTAAGGAAGCAGCAGAGAGGCGCTTATTGCTCCCCAGGTTATATTTAGCTAGCGCAAGAGGCAGCAGAAACAAGAGGGTACTTGCAGTTCTATTGCTTTTCATTGCTCCCAAACTGGAGTGAGAGATTTCTTCCCACAATGCAAGGTTTTCTGTAGCAATTTGGGTGTTTAAATGTGTGTTGGGTGGATGCAATTTAAATTCAGAGTTTAAGACAACCTGGATTTCTTCTGGCTCTCCAAAGTGTACTGTTGGAACCTTCCCCAGAAGGCAAATACTAAGACTTTATCACACGAGGCTGTAAATGCAGAATTTTAACAGGATAAAAGCATCTTTGGATGAGCTTTTAGTTGTTTACAGTTGTAAACCACTTAGACATCCCATAGCATGATATGAAGCGGTATATAAATGAAGCTGCTTTGCTTTTGCTTTTGGTACTTATCACACGATATTATGTTGGTCCTGTTGCTGCCTTGCATTTCATATGTTACTGTAGTGCACCTTTTCATTGACGGGCAAAACCTGTCAATGGGATCTCAATCTCACTGCTATTGCATTACTTCCTTCATGCGATAGGTTCCTTCCGCTGCAGTTCCACATCTCAGACAGTCACGTGGTTTGAGTGGCCATGATTCTGCAAACAAACAAGTGTTTTCTGGTTGTGGGTGTTTGGGTTCTGTGGAATAAAACCCTTGATTCTATATCCATTCTACACCCAGAAATGCTCCTATGGACATGGGGCCATTTTATAACCTGCAATACACTGGAGTTTTCATTGGAGTCAGAAAAGATCCCTTATTAAATCATCTTGAGTCATGGTTTTGGAAGAAAGGTGGGGTATAAATAAAGTGAAGCATCAGGAGTTAGTAGTGGCAGTGGTGATGTTTCTCTAATCTGCCTGCAAGATGCAAACATTCAAAAAGATGCAAAAAAATGGCTTTAAACTGGTATTTCCTCTGTTTGGAAATGCCACACACATTTACTATCATACTTTGTTCAGTGGTGTGTTTATGAGACAATGATATGATGCTGTCATTAAATTGTTATCCTGTCTTTTCCAGTCCTTTTTCATTTTATTTTCCAGACTACACAATATTAATTTTGGTGTTGTCGATAATTGCGCTGAAGACTATCTCACAGTTCTGCTATAACATTTAAAAGTCCATGCTGGTTTCTTCAGTTACCATGAAATGGCAACCTTGATTCTCACAGGGTTAAAGACCTGTAGAATCGACTCCAACTGCATGGTTGCAGAACTGGTATTTCCCTTCATCAACTTGTAGGTTGATTTTGGCATGAAAAACAGGCCACAAAGGAAGCTGTATTCCTCCCCCTCAAGCATGATCTTCTTTTCCAGGTAGCAGCTGCCTTCTGTTCCTATGAATAAAAAAGAGAAAAGAAAAGAATCATGTTCAAATTTTAAGAAAGGAGAGATACTTTTGCTGCTATCCTGCACAGTCATTTATTAAATGGAATAATCTGTTGCTATTTCAATAGAATTTTATCCATATTCATAACAACCCAGGATTGCTGAAGTTTTTATTTAGCTTTCAATTAATTTTGTTGCAAGGATATATTATATTCTGGACCAAGGCACTTGTTCCTTAAATGGGACTGTTTCCACACCACTTGGAATCAAAATGGTAACCGTCACCTCCTAAACTATAGAAGATATTGAAATTTATTATCTAAAACTTTCCATTCGTCATACACTATGATGTACTTGTAAGAATTATGGATCCTTTTAGGACTAACTCAATTGATCTACCAGCAGATGGGTCAATATGTGAATCCATCACTGATTCTAAAAGTTTTCCATACTCCCTAGTCTGTCTTACTTTGGCAGAGACAGACCCAGATAATCTCACATTTCCAGCTGTTTTCAAAATGTACCAGTTTATCTCTCCTCCTCCCACTTTTTTTTTTCTGTCTGCAGCTTACTTCAGTTGCCACAGACTGAGTTCCAAGTGCAAAAGTAGTTTGCACTCAGTTAATTCAGGGAGAGGAGGTGAGAGGAGGTGGTAGAACCCTGCCCTTCCCAGTGGGTTCAGGCAAAAGCAAACCACTGCAGCCTTTCTGAGTTGGTTTGCTCTTCCTCATTAATAACCTTTGGCATCTTGACCACAGTCTGATGTTACATGACTACGTGTGCCTCATTTTCGATCTCATATATGTATGGGACAATTTTCATACAAGCAGATATTCAACTACATGCTGTATAGACAGCGGTGTTGCTAGTGTTGGTGTCACTCGGTGTGGATGCCCAGAAAGAGCTGCTGGAGGGAGGCTTGCCCTGCCTGACCCTCCCTCCCACTGCCTCACTCAACTACCCATCTTCCCCAATCACCCGGCTGTTGGCTGCCTGGCCAGACCCAGTAGGGGATGCTGGGGGGTGGTGGTAGTAGTAGCAGCCTCCCTTGT